TTTGTTGCCTCTTTAGTTCTCTCTATTTCCTTCAGGATTCAGAGATTTAAGAACACCACCTTCCCAAGATTTCCCCCCTAAAATAGACAATTTTGAAAAATACAGATTCCAGGGCTGGCCGAGTGGTGCAATGGTTAAGAACTGGTTTGGGACGCCAGAGGGCCCCGGTTCGGATCCCACATATGAGGGTCCGTGACACTGCCCTCTACAGCTAAGATGCTGAACAACAGCTCAACCTGGAGCTGGGCTGCCGTGAGTCACCGGCGTAGGCTGCAGCCCCTGTGGCAGTGGGTTGACATGGGCTACCGTATGTAGCCAGCAGCCGCAATGAGCAGCCGTCCAGAAGCCAGTGACTGATCTGCCTCGCCAGGGAAGAGCACAATGATGGTGCCAATTTGGGCCAGTGAAGCAATGTCCTCCACAACTAGATTGAAGAACAAAACAACAGCAACTTGTCTGTTCCCCTTCCCCAGTTCCCCAGTACTGTTCCCATACCCCCAACTCCCCAATAAAAAAATATGTAAAAAAAAAAAAACAGATTCCAGAGATGACATTGTAGGGTTATTAAATTTATATTAAAACGACATGTACAGTAATCTTGTTTTTCCTAGTTCCTCTTTTAAAAATCATACCGTGTCCAAAAATGTCCCTGAAGTGTGTACAGTTGAATATTTAAGAAAGACTAGGATTGGGTGATGAATTCTCTTCCAGAATTGAACCGTCATCAGACATTTGAATACATTATTCTAAAAAATAGGATTTTATCAGTGAGTGCAGAACCTTACTTAACCTTGACCTTAATAGCTTCTGCTTCCTCCTCCTCTTTAGAAATGTAAACTGAAGTATTTGAATGTATTCTCAATTGACCATAGTACAGTGTGTTCTGCTACGATATGTGGTACCTCCACAATGTCAGTTAGCTTATACACTGTCGGTAAACAGGGGAATAGTGTCAGTATAATATGGGTGGTGTGTTGGTTTATATGTGATTTTTCCTAAACTGGATAGGGGGATCCTGAATAATGGGAGTTGAATTTTATACTTCATAAGGAAAGTTCAGCTGCTACAGAGGCTAAGGCACCCCCAAACCCCACACACAGACTTTTTAATTAAAAATGATAACCTGCACTGGGGGTGGTCCTCCCAGAGAGGTACAGCCTGGTCTAGCAAGGACTCTCCTCATGTGGCAGCTTGCATTGCCTTTTATGTTCATCTTAGCAGCCCTATTAAAGCTTTACTTATCAGCTCCCATAAGTCTTTGTTTCTACACTTTTTATTTTCTTTTAAGATTTAATTGGGGAATGAGGGAAGGGGAACAGACAAGTTGCTGTTCTTTTGTTCTTCAGTCTAGTTATGGAAGACATTGCTTCACTGGCCCATGTTGGTATTGTGATCATTGAGCTCTTCCCGGCTGTGGCAGATCGTTCGCCAGCCATTGGACGACCACTCACGATAGCTTATGGCAGCCCACTGCAGCCCCGCTGCAGCCTACGCCGTTGCCGGCTACTCACAGCATCCCAGCTCCAGGCTGAGCTGTTGTTCACCATCTTAGCTGTAGAGAGCACAGCGTCACTGGCCCATGTGGGATCTGAACCGGTGACCCTGCTGCTCAGAGCTGGCATCCCAAGCCAACTCTTAACCAATGAGCCACTCGGCCAGCCCTACATTTCTTTGTTCAATACCTTTTATTAAGTCTTGAAGTAGCATTTCAGCTGCTCTTAGCTGCCTGACTGGGGTGTCCAAGTTATCTCTGAAGGTCCCAGTCATTATTTTTGTTAGAGATGTGATTACAGAGTTACAAGAGCATTGACTTATCTGCCCCAATGTACCCCTCCCAACCCTCCTGGACTTTTTTTTTTTCTCTCTCATAAATCTTGATATTTTTAGTATTGCAGAAAGTAAGGTTTTCAGAAATGTATGTATTTATGTTTTACCAGGTGTACTTCCTTAAGAGGATGCTGGAACTTAGTGTAGTTGAGGTTTTGTGGCATTATTTCTGTTTTTGAAGACTGTTATAAAGAGAACCCCTATATTTTGCAGTAATGGAGATCCCATGTTTTAGATATGAGGCTTCCTGTTCATCATTTTAAAATGCAGGGGAATACTAAACAGTAAAAATTTGAGGCATTTTGTTGTGGATTACTGAGGCGTTTTGTGCTATACAGTAGTTCCCCCTTATCCACGGGGGATACATTCCAAGACCCACCCCCCAGTGGATGCTTGAAACTGTGGCTAGTGCTGAACCATATATATACTATGATTTTCCCTATATACACATACCTATGATAAAGTTTAATTTATAAATTAGGCACAGTAAGAGATTAACAACAGCTAACAATAAAATACAACAGTTATAACAATGTACTGTAATAAAAGTTATATGCATGTGGCCTCTCAAAATATTGTACTGTACTCACCCTTCATGTGATATGAGAGAGATACTATAGTGCCTGTGTGATAAGATGAAGTGGGGTGAATGACACTGGCATTATGATGTAGTGTTAGGCTATCATAAGGGTTACTTGAACACAAGCACTGCAATACCAGGACAGTGATATAACTGAGACAGCTACTAAGTGACTAACAGATGGTCCAGTATACAGCGTGGATCTCACTTGACATGTTTATTTTCTGTTTTTAAAAACAATATTCAGTCTTTAGAAAATGCATAATATTATGAGGTGTGATTAAAAAAATATGGTGAATGTTTAAATAAAAAATTTCTTACAGTAAAAGACACATTACCATTAATCTCCCTCAAAATAGTCCCCCTCGCTTTGAACACACTTATGCCATCACTCTTGCCACTTTCTGAAGCAGCTCTGGAAGTCCTCTTTTGTGACTGTCTTTTGCGCTGTCATGGCTGCCTCAATGTCCTGAATTGATTCAAAACATTTACCTTTCATGGTCATTTTGACTTTGGAAAAGAGCCAGAAGTTGCACATTGAGTGCCAGATCCTGTGAATAAGGTGGATGAGGATACACCATAATGTTTTTATTGGACAGAAATTGCCGTACCAGAATTGACATAGTCTTTCTGTTGTGATTACAAAATACAATGAATGCTGCTGCCAAGTGCCGTCCAGTGGAAAGGCAGGGATCTTCAATAAGGGAAGCAGCGTGTCGAACCTTAGTAACAGTGTGTGACAAGTTTCAACTTGTTTGATGCAGTCAGTTGGATGTGAGCTACAGTTGAGAGAAAGTGTGCCATAAATCATCCTCCATCATGACAACTCTGTGTCACACATCACTTTTGGTATACAGCAGTTTCTGACAAATAAAAACATTTACGGTGTGTCCTCATCTACCTTTTTCACTGGGTCTGGCACCGTGCGACTTCTGGCTCTTCCCCAAAGTCAAAATGATTCAGGACATTGAGGCAGCCATAACAGCACAATTAAAGACCACTCACAAAAGAAGATTTCCAGAACTGCTTCAGAAAGTGGCAAAAACGATGGGATAAGTATGTTTGAAGCAAAGGGGAGTATTTTGAGGGGGATTAATGGCAATGAGTCTTACTGTAATAAACTTTTATTTAAACATTCACTGTATCATTTGATCACAACTTGTATGTATTATTTGCTGTGGTGTAAAAGCTCCAAATATAAAAAAGTAGACAAGTTATTCCTGTTGAATAAGCATGTTGATTATGTGTGTAAATTATACATAGTAAAGATTTTAAAGTCCTTATCCAAAGATTTTGAGCAGTCTCATTAAAACAAGGAATTATAGGCCAGTATTACAGTAAATGTAAGAAAATTGCTCATGTGGTAGATGATTCTAGAAAATGTTTTACAAATGAGAATAATAGATGGAGAAAAATCAGATAATTGCTTGGAGTATGCTATCTTAGTCAATAATACTATAAAAATAGTATAAACTGGTCATATATGTGGGTTTGCCCCATATAAGGAAATTAACAGAGATTTGTTAAGAATGGAGTCATTAGTGTTAATTTAGGCATTTAAAGAATTGAGATTGGCATTGGGGGTGTGGCAGTGGCAAGCCCTATTATTTTTTGTCATTTTTGGTAATATGTGAAATGCCAGCAAATTGCATTAAGGTTCTCTCTTTTCCCGAGTGCTCATGAAACAACCTCTGTTCTTTCAGGCAATTCTAGGAATAAGGGGAAATTGCTGAAAATTCAGAGCACATTGTATAATCAGTTATTTCAGTGGCTGCTCTTATGACACTCACAATTTTTCCTGTATTTTCTACCAGTGTTAGATATTAATTCTATTTTGTTTCTCCTGGATTTGAAAAATGGGAAAGTATATCATACTGCATTTATTCTTTATTTTTTTAGTTATAATAGATGTATATTAAGTATACACTGTAATGATATGATATTTGTATATATTGCAAAGTGATCACCACAGTAAGCCTAGTTAACATCAGTCAACATACATAGTTCCAGAGTTTGGGTTTGTTTTTGTTTTTCCTTGTGATGAGAATGTTAAAGATTTACTCTCTCAGCAACTTTCAAATATGTGATACGGTATTAACTATACTCACCATGCTGTCCATACATTACATCTCCATGACTTATTATTTTATTACTGGAGTTTTGTACCTTTTGACTTCCTTCACCCATTTCTTCCACCCCCTACTCCCACCTCTGGCAACCACCAATCTGTTCTCTGTTTTGTTTGTTTAATTCGATTTCACATACAAGTGAGATCATACGGTATTTGTCTTTCTCTGTCTGACTTATTTCACTTATTATAATGTATTATAGTATAATGCCCTCAAAGTCCATCCATGTTGTCACAAATGGCAAGGTTTTGTTTTTTTTTTATGGCTGAATAATATTGCATTGCATATATATACCATATTTTCTTTATACATTCATCAATCGATGGACCCTTAGGTTGTTTCCATATGTTGGCTGTTGTAAATGATGCTGCAATAGGAATGCATATCATATTTTATCATTTTAAAAGTGTAACCTGTAAGGCAGAAAGACTGCTCAATGCATGTTTTTCCTTTTATATCTTAAGGAAGAGAGAGAAAATCCTTCGAAACGGAATAGAATTGAACGCGATATAGATAATAATCTGATCACATCAACACCAAGAGCAGGAGAAAAACCTAACAAACAGATATCTCGAGTAAGACGGAAAAGTCAAGTAAATGGAGGTTTGTTAATATTTAGATATTGTTTTATTAGGTATAAGCAGAGATCTCACCTGACATGTTTCTTTTCTGTTTTTAAAAATCTACTTTGAGCAATTTCTGCCTTGTTTTTGTAATCTTTGTAGTACATATTAATACCATGAAGTGAAATAAAAATTTACCTTAATGTAAATCTACTTCTTTGAATTAAAATGACAAAGGCAGAGTAACTAGCTTTATACTATTTAGCATGAATGTGTATATAGAGCAACATTTTTGGCTTCTGATGAACTCATTTCTTAAAGTAATAATGGTGACTTAATTTGTACATGTACAAATTTGAAATATGTACTTAATATGTACAAAGAATTTGTTTCTGGATTACAGAATTTCAGAGCTCAGAGGGGGCTTAGATCATGCAGGTCAGTTGTTCTCAACTAGGAGTGGTTTTGTCCCCCAGGGGACATTTGTCAATGCCTGGAGACCTTTTTGGTTGTCACCACCTGTCGAGGTATTGCTACTCATATCTAGCAATAGAGGCCAGGGATGCTGCTAAACATCCTACAGTGCACAGGCCATCTTCCCACAACAAAGAATTATCCAGCCCAGAAGTCAATAGTGTTGCTGTTGATAAGCCCTGTTCAGGTCAATATCTTATTATATTGCTGAGAAGCTCCTCAAAGTCAAAAAGGAGAAAACAAGAACAAGCAGAGAAAGCTATAAAGAACAACACTTAAGAACATGGCATACTGCCTTTTAACCAATGCTATTATAAACACAGCAATAATAATTTCTTACCTCTTTCCGTTCAATGCAGTGTTGTATCTCTTATCACTAGAATTCACTTTTAGAGAGAAAAGGGATAAAGGAACAAGTTAAAAGACCTATAGCAAAGAAGGAAAGAAATGAGGTAGATGCCAAGTAACGTTGTGGATGGTTAAGGATGATTAATCAAAACATTTGTTTGAATTTATTTTTATTTTATATTTTCCAAAATCCATGAAAAATTTTTATTCTCTAGAAATTAAAAACAAACAAACAAAAAACAACTGGTTATTCTTCCTAACCACTTTGAAATGGTGCCTCAATATCCATCAGTAATTTTTGATGTTGCGATCCATAGCCTTCTGCTTCAATAGAGCTATGTTTCCTCTATTTCTTTAGCTGTTGTTCATTAGAAATAGATTGGAGATTAGGTTTTAGGAAGTAGGCAGCATCCCAAAATGTAAATAAAGACAAAATTTTGCATTTGTGTTTTCGATATTGTAACTTGCTTGCTTTAGTTACAAAGAATTTATTTCATTCTGTTACCCTATATTGATTAGAAGCCTTTCTCAGTCTATGTTAGATGTAAATCTATAGTTGACGCTTTAACAGCGTGGGGGTTAGGGACACTGACTCCTTGCACAGTCCAAAAATCCACATATAACTTTTGACTCCCCCAAAACTTCAGTTGTCCTTCGGTATCTGCAGGGGATTGGTTTCAGGACCCCGTGGATATACCAAAATCCACAGATGCTCTCAGGTCCCTTATAGAAAATGGCATAGAACAATGCACTCTGCTTCTGTGCATTCCCAGCCACAGATCAAAAGTACTGTTTTCAATATAATAATATATACTGATGAATCTGCAGATGAGAAACCCGAGGATTCAGAAGGCTGACTATATTTATTGGAAAAAATCCTTGTTTAAGTGGACCCATGCAGTTCAAACTCGTGTTGTTCAAGAGTCAACTGTACTCTGAAAAACTTGGTGAATTTTAGTATTTATAAAGCATTAAGTAAATTAGTTACAAAGACCATTTGATTTGCCAGTGATTTACCTTAAGATTTCTTAAATAATAAACTTTTATGACATTAATGTTATTTTTCTTGAAGTATTTTGATGGTAGAATATATTTTTATAATGAATGGTTTAGAACACATTTCTGAAAGTCATGTTTTATAGATTGCAACTTTGTTCTTCTATTTCTTTCTTAGAAGCTGGTAGTTATGAAATGACAAATCAACATGTAAAACAAAATGGAAAATTAGAAGATAATCCTTCCTCTGGCAGTCCTCCTAGGACTACATTGTTGGGGACCATATTTTCTCCTGTCTTCAACTTTTTTTCACCAGCAAATAAAAATGGTAAGTATAAAACATTAAACACAATTTGGGTTTAAAAAATGAATGGTTTTCCTAGGATTTTAAAAAATTATTTGATTTTGGTGGCATAGTTAGTCAGCATCTTATGTTTGTTTTTAGCCTCATTAAAATGCATGGCTCCTAAAAGCCTTTTGTGTGTGTGTGTGTGTGTGTGTGTGTGTGTGTGTGTGCGCGCGCGCGCACGCGCGTGCGCATGTGCCTGAAATAAATATAGGATATGTTTAATTCTATTGAAGTGAATGACCTCTGTTTTCACTATCTGAAAAACTTGATGATAAACCTCAGGCTGGAGGGAAAGTTATTTTTTCTGTGTTGGGATGACTTTGTAATCCTTAAGAGTGGGCACAGGAGAGACTCCAGGAGCATTTTCAGTATTCTAGATCAATAAAGTGAATTTGTTGAATATTTTAAGTGAGCTGAAACTAGGTCACTTTTTGTAACAGTTTATTTTTATTATCATTGCTTGATTTTCCCTCGCACCCCCCCAGGGATCTTCAATTTAGACGAACAGTAAAACTACACTAATTCAAATCAATTGAAGGTTTTTATTATCTAATGCCTTTGCAATAGAATCAAAATAGGCTTCTTTACAAATGTATTTTAAAAAAATATTTAGCTATTATCTTTTCTGATGATTAATACCTAATTTCATACATGATAATTTAGTCTCTAGACTATTTGAGGGCAAAGGATCGTGTCTTTATTTTTTCATCTACCATGTTGTTTGATATAGTATTGGGCACATGGAAAATAGCCATTGAATGCTTGTTGCCTGCTTATTTAAATTCTAATTTGAGTTATGTTTCTGGATAATGTTGTAATTTTTAAGAGGCAGAATGGTGCACTGTAAAATCAAGATATCCCAAGGCAAAAATAGTACATATAGCACATTAGTTTGTAGTGGAAACAAAACAAAAAATAAAACTACCTTTAACTTTGGTTAACCCAGTATTTCCTAGATATATTTGACCAAGAACCCTATTCTGTGGAACATCTGTTAACATCTTACAGAACTAATGCTTCACAGAACACCTTTAGAAATAAATGCTGGTGTAATGGAAAGGAAAAAGAATGGGCTTTGGAGTTAAACTTGCTTTAAAATTGCAGTCCTGCCACTCTACCCATGTTACTTTGGACCAGTTCTTTTAAGTTCTTGAGTCTCTTAATCTGTGAGAGAGGATATACCTCAATGTGAGGGGTGATTCGAAGATTTCAGCTCATTGAACAGATATTGAGCATCTACTATATTCCAGCCATTGGAGATTCACAGATGGTTAACACATGGTCCCTGCCCTCAAGAAGTTTCCTTTTTACAGGAGGGAGAGGTATATGTAAATATAATAAATTTTTATCAGGAAAAGAGATTTTTTGGGGGGGAAGAGGTTAAATTTAAAGCAATGAGGGATAAGAAATAGTCTGCGAGGAAGTTGAAAGTATTAGAGGTTGATTTTGCTGTTGAAAATAACTTTTGGAGGATTCCATAAAGAAATGGAAAAAGGTGGGGGTCATTCCATAATGGAAGAAGAATTGGGCAGCAGTGTCATCTAGGTGATGGCTGAGTATAATGCAGAAACTAACTTCAAATCAACCTTTATTAAGATAGAATCATATTGAGAAATTGTCCTTGTTTCTCTGAATAAGAAGGTTCCCATAATTAGAGGAACAGTTGGCTCATTCTTGGATAACTACCTCTGTTTTAAAAATTGTAACTGCCTGCAATGGCTAGGATGCTTAGTACTGAATGGATCAGGATCTGTTTGAGGATTATAAGAGAGAAAGAGGAGAGTGAGGGAGAGAG